AAGACGGAATTCATGTTCATTCCAAATTTCATTAGGTGCTTACATCTGAAACCATTTGTTTGAAGGCAATCAAAAGTCTGATCAGACTTTTTTATTTTTAAGCAGGGCAGTGTTTTTCCCTTTGCCATAAAGCAGTTGGAGAGAAATCCCCAGAATCGGGAAAACAAAATAAACGAGACAAACCAAAATATTAACAAAGTTGGCATGATGTTCCTTTAAAAAACAAAAAGTCCCCCACACTCCCAGTTTCTCGAGACATCTTAATAAGGATGTAATTCCACATTTGCTCTCGCTGAGCAAATCAAACAGGGTGATTTATTATTCAGATGGGCACAAAGGATTTCTGAAATGCAGAAAGAAGGGCTATAAAAGCACAAGTCATCAGTAATGAGGACAAGCTAAACTGCCTTTCAAATCTGAACAAAATGCAGCCATTTAGGGTCTCATACATCACACTCTCCCAGCCCCTCATTTATTTCCACACTGTACAAGCTGCATGATAATGGAGCCAGGGCAGAATTCAGCACCTACTGAGAACATCTTGATCAGACAAATGATTCCTCACCAGCAAGGGATCAGAATCCTCATCCTCAGAAGAACAAACAAGGATTTCCAACCACCGCTTTAGTTCCCTTCCCAGAAACACCTGTGTATGGAAAAGGAACTTTTCTGAACTAGAGGCACAGTGAAAATATGAAAAAACTCCCACTCATATTCCAGGAAAATTCAGATTTTTTTCCTTAGTATGAATGATAAACATCTACAGCAATTTGGGTTCCTGATGGGATACCATTCAACTGGAACCCAAAATCTCAGCTTTAGCTGCTGAGACCTGCTGTTATATTTTCTTCTGAAGAGAAAATGAGAGAGAGAGGACCAAATTCTGTTCCTCCTTATCCCAGCAAAGCACAGAAATAACTATCAGAGCTCATGAGGTTACTCAGCATTTTCCTCCTTGGAGCAGCAAACCCACAAAGAGCAGTTCCCTCAACGAGCTGGTTAATATTTTAGCTGTACATGGATATTATGGGCATTACACACAGGCTGAAATCCACTTTATCTTCAAAAATGTTCCCCCACATGAAGAGATGTGGAATTAGTTGCACTTTACAGATCAAGAACAGACAACAGCAGAGGCTCAAGTGAATTGTCCAAGCTCACGGAAAAAACTTATCGTGGAGCAAGACACTGCATCAAATGCCTCAAATTTCTGCCAAACATGACTCTGAGACTCCTTATTTCTTTGGCATCACAGCCAAGCAGAATAAATCCTCCCTCCAAGCAAGGAGCACCTCCAAGGATTTGACTGCATGGAGACCTGTTTGAGATTCAAGCCAAGTTTGCTTCCACCTCAGCTGGAGCAGAGAAGCATATTTAACATCCCACCATTTTTCTTCCAATGGCAGGCTGGAATAAGTAAATAAATAAATAACCAGTGTAGCCCAGGAAGCCAGGCAGATGTCACCCAAAGGCATGGAAAGAACCACAAAGATTCAGCAGTGTCAAAATACCTGCTTTCAGCAAAGCCTGGGTGACAGCACCGGGCCCCAGGGACTACAGGGAGAAACAGCACAACACTGTCCACATCTGTGTTTCAGATCCAGTGAACTTCATCCTTCTTTCAACTCAAACACAGTCTGTAACATTCTGAGATAAATTAGGCTGGTCCTAAAGGATATCCCTCAGAGCCCAGCTCAGGTATTCAGTGTTGGGACTTAAATTCTGCCTCCTAATTTACCCACTGTAGATCCAACAGCAGGCCCTGCCGGAAGGGACCCAAGCTGTGAGACCTTCTCGAGCCCCAGACACATCAGCAGCCCAGCACAGCCCACCAAGGGGCATCACCTGGACATGACACCGGTCCTTTCCTTGGCTCTTCCCTGCTCACAGGGCCCTGAACTCTGCCTCTCAGTGTTTCACAGCAGCTTTCAGGTGGATTCTAAACGTCACTTTGGGGTTAGTTCATCGCCTTCCCCTCGCCGGCGCTCCCTGAAACAGCCGGTGGCAACTCCAGCTCTGGCTCCACTTGCTCTTCCCTGAGCTGGATCCCAGCTTGTTTCCTCAAAGACTGACAAGAACTCCATAGACTGTTCCAGAAAATTACATTTTAGGATTTCACTGTGGGACCTGCACGTTCACAGTCACACAGAGCACCTGCTCAGCACACACAGGAGCAGTCCTGGAGCCAAACCTGATTCAGAAGTGCCCCATCTCCTCACACCCTCCCAGAAGCTGAATTTAGGAAAAAAAAAAAAAAAAAAAAAAAGGAAAATCTGAAGTCTGTAACATCAGGCTGTGCTAGAAGATTAACATTTATAAGTACACACTCCTCCCAAAATTTATTATGCAATTAGCAGCATGGAAGAAGGACCCCTTGTTGTACTTTTCCACAGAGAGCACCACTAAAACTATATATATGTCTCACTGCTCTCAAATATATGATCTCCCTCACTCCAGAAGTCCAAGACGGGACTTCCACCCCCGCACCTGCCCGTGCCATGGGAACACACCATCATAGCCTTGAGCAGTGTTCCCCCCTCCCTGGCAAACACTGGGAGGAAAAGACAGTTTGGGAAGACAGGACACTCCATTAGGGAGTAATAAACCTGTAATCTAAAACAATTAAAATGAACTGTCTCTTTTCTCTTTGCATCCTCCCAGGTTGAAGCCCGTCCTCTCTCCCCCCTCTCAAGCACTGCTCTGACACTACATTTCATTATGCAACAGTTGTGCTCAGCATTTTTAAAGGCTAAAAAATTGGCAAAGGGGATGATGAAGCATTTCCAAGTTCCCAGTGTATTTACTTCGACGTGCTTTTACAGTAACACGAACCCTGATAATCAGGAAACATTTCATTCTTCACAAACCCTCACTTGAAATATCCCTGGGCACACCAATGGTGTCAGTAGTTACACGTGAATCTGGTCCAGAACGAGAAAGTACTTTCTAATTCTCTAAAAATCTACAGAAAACGCTGTATGGTTTATAAATGGGGCATATGCATAATGCTGTGCAAGGCTAATCAGCCCTGAGACAACAGCTTCTAAATATCGTTATGGAGAAGACAAGAATGATGTTTAACTGCTGCTTCTGTCAGAGAGATTCTCCTTTCAAGTCACTCAGGATATCGAGTATTTTCTTCTAGTAATCATGGTCTGCACAAAGTCCCATCCTCAGCCTGGGAAAAGCAACAGCATCTCTTACCACTGATCTATTTGCTCTGTGGAAGGAGCACACGCTATTTAAAACATGGTCACCCCTACCACGTAATTTTACCCACGTCTGTGTACAGGCTGCAGCCAAAAAAACACATTTATTTTGGGTACAGAGAAATCCACAGAGGACCTGGAATACAGCAAGTCAGCACTGCTGGAAAGAGAAGCAGAGAAAAGGAAAAAAGCAAAAGCGTGGTGGTTGCTGTCATATCAACAAGCAAGTTGATATTTAATTCTTCCCACTGATGTCTTGGGGGAAAAGAATCTCTGATAAAATACCCTGAGAGATCTTAAGTGCGATTGAAGCCGTGCCACTGGCTTGGGGAGCCCACAGTCCCTATCCCTGGGCAGAGCAGCAGCTGACACAGAAATCACCCCCTTGGACACCCTCTTTTAGGGATCAGCAGCAAACTTGCAGAGTAAGGAGCAGAGGCAGGAGGGCAGTCGGATACCTGGACAGGTACAGGCAGGGAGAGCAACTTAGCTGCCCTCTGCTGACTGTCTGATTTGTTGAACATTCTCTGCTCCAGTCCTGCACAGCCCAACTGCAGCTCAACCAGTGAGGAATTCCGTGGATCCATGTCCACGCCGATGTCTGTGTGGCAGCTGTGCCCACAGGGGTGGCCCTGCCCGCTGTGGGGGTGTCTCACAGAGCCCCTGCCCAGCCTGGCCCCGGCGCTCCGGCCGCTGCGGCAGCGCCGGGTGTTCCCTGCTGCAATGGGCTGCTCCAGCTAATTAACTCCAGAGAGACACCCAGGACTCCAGCCAGGAATTCTGCTGCATCCTGCCCTGGGGATGCACTGACTCGTGCAGTGCCCAGCCCGGGTGTCCCTCCCTGCCCTGCTGAGGTGTTTGTCAGCCCTGGCACTGACGGGGTGGTTTGGGCTCATCCAGCCGCTCTGAGCTGCCAATTCAAATCAGGGGCCGCTTCAGTAACCCCGAAATCAACAATCCTCACAAACGCCACTCACGACCAAGACGATGCCACCACAGAGAAACTGCGTGGCCTGCACCTGGGTTAGGTGAGTTTTATGCCACGGTGAAAAGTATTAAACAGCAAAACTACTGGAATTCTCAGAATGAAAGGAGATCGACCCAGCGCTTCCCAACTCGGACCAATTCCCGAGCCTCTCATGACATCTTCTGTCAGTCAGCCTGGTAAAATACACACGACCCATTTAACTCCCAACTTTTTTTTCCTATTAAAAACTAATCCTTCTATAAAACGACAAAGTGGTTTGAGGGAGAATGAGGAAAGATGGGATTGAAGTTTTAAGCCCATTACTGCATTTATCAATCCTGGCTGCTCTGCCAAAGTGCTTCACTCTGAACTCGCGTCCATCTTCCCCGAGCTTTAAAAGCAAATGGGAGCATCTATTCCTTCAGCACCTCAAACACTTGCCCTCCCAATAAAACGCAGCCGTGTAGCTTTAACCCAGCGCTTCGCTGAAATTCCCAATGGATCAGCATCACCCACTCTGCGGCTGCTCCAGTGCTCCCGTAGCGCAACTGGAAAACCGGGGTGCTCGGGGACGGTGTGTATGAACCTATTATTAACGAATCCACGCGTCGAGGAAATAGAGGAGTAACTGTGGGGTTTTTTAGCGAGGCTGCGAGCGGCGGATTCCCCGTCCCCCCCCCTTCATTTTGCGCGGACCCCGCGCGGCGAGCATCGCTCCATCCCACCATCCCACCTCCCCCCGCCCGCCCCCGCCGCCAGCCCGGCCCCCGGCTCCTCCTCCCCGCTCCCGCCCGGCTGGGGGACGCCCGCCGGTCCCGCTCAACAAGTTCCCCTCGGCGGGGACCCGGCCGAGGGGACCCCCGCACTCCGAGCCCCCGTCGCAGCCCATGAGGGCAGCGGGGAGCGCGGCGGAGGCTCCGCGGCTCCTCCGCGGCAGATGCGCCGAGGCTCTGACGCCCAGCTCGCCCCGGCGGCGGGAGGGAGATGCTCGCCCAGACCGCCACTTCTGCGTGAGGAAGCATAAGGTAAGGGACAGCCCTGCCCGCGGCTCGCTCGCCCCCAGACCCAAAACACCCCCCCCCCACCCCGCTCCGCTGGTTTTTCCAGCGGAAAACTTCGTAGGGATGAGGATAAAGGCTGGCGCTGAGCGCCAGGGTTATGCAATAGCGTATCTGCCTGCCTGGGAACAGCTCCTGCATCCAATAACTTTCGTGACAGAGAAGGAGAGAATATCCCGATCTAGCAAAATGCCAGCCTTTCTTTCCCTGCTCCCTTTCCAGCGGTGCCTGGGAAGGGAGAGGTGTAGCTGGAGGATTTTCGGAGGACGCACGAAGTGCTTTAGCTTTTCACATGGCTGATGGCGAGGAACTACCGCTGCTTATTAACTTCAGCCGTCCTAATGAAGTGTCCGCGCAGCGCGGCGATGGAGGAGCATCGGATGCGTTCATCCCTTAACTTGCTACTGAAAGCCAAACCAACCCAAAAATCCTCCTCGGGGGCTGAACTGCTGCCGTTCAGTGAAGTGTGAATATCGAGACGCAGGGCTCTCACCATTTAATACACCCAAGTCCCTCGTCACCATCGGGCACAAATTGGGGATGCCGTGAAAACGCCGTGGGAAAACGGGACAGAAGGTAGCAGGGAGCCATCCCTGAAGTCGCGGTCCTTGCATCCTGCAAGGCATCCCGAGCTTCCCGCTCTGCATTTCCATCTTGCCTCCCTATCTCTTGTGCAAATCCTCTCCCGTGACCTCAACGCCTGTACTTAATGCCATGTTTACAGGGAGTTACGGCAGCGAGGGGATGCAGGACTGCAGTTCGCTGGGATCAGCCCGGGGGAGGCGGGGGAGGCGGGGGGAGAGCAGCCAGCCCCAGAAAAATAGGGACATCTTGCAATGCTGGGAGCAGGGAATATATTCCCTGCTTATGTCACTGTCTCCCGAGGGCTCTGTCCCAAAGGAGCTGTGCCCCCCTCTCTGCACGAGTCAGGATAGGTAATGGAGCGGTTCGGTTTGACCTTGTGTGTCTAAGCAGCTCAAATCCTGCTCGGAGGAAAATTTAACTCATTAGGCTCTAGGATCGGGAAGTTTGGGAAGACCTGTTCTTTCCAGCCTCTGAGAATCAATTTTTTTTTTTTTTTTCCCCGCTGGCAAACCAGTAACAGGTCAGGTCTGATATAAACTGGGAATTTATTCCCTCTCTTTAAGTGTTCCACGGTGCTCACCGTTCCCATTTACAGTGCTGTCAGGAATGCTGCATGTACCAAGGTTAAAATCGGGCTGCTGGCTGGAAAAACTACCAGCTAAAAATAAATAGATAAGAATAATCACATGACATGCAACTGTCCTAGCCATGTACTCAGACGAATTTAATGTAGAATTTCAAGGGAACAGACCCATAGTAGAAATATGAAAGCAGGGAGAGTAACGCATTTCCCTACTCTTGGTGTGATGCCTATTGGTGTCCTACGAGCCTGCTCTGTCTCCACTACAATGATCTTTCTCTCCCAGAAATACCAGTTCTAAGTTAAAAGCTGGATTTTCTTCTGGCAGGAGAAATTCCGATTCAGATGAAAAGATCTCAGTGCTCAGATATTACTGATTTATAGCCTACCTGGAGGTTGATATCCTGCCATACAGTGATGGCATATGGTCCCTGGTTTCAGGAGAAATCCATAATGTGCACTGCTAATCCAGAGGCTCAGATGGAATTGTTCTAATTCTAACAGTTCTAAAACGAAATTCCTGCCCCAGAGTTTAATGTGCTGTTGCACTGAAAGCATCCTGCCTTCACAGAATGGGGAAGGCTGATACTAAATCAGGTTTTGGGGTGTTTTTTCGTAAGGATGTCGTGATGCCCTTGATGAAAAATGTGTGTTCTTTAGGACTCCATCGTTATTAATGATGTGTATTTGTAACAAGATGCTCAAGATGATTCTAATCTTGAATGGAATCAGTGCCTTTCCCTCAGATTGACACATAAAAAGCAGCTGGGCAAGTGCAGCACAAGAGAAAGTGTTAGTTACTTATCAAGAGGGCCAGCACTTAATATTCAATGCACCCTTCTACTAATTAAGCTCACAAACAAGTAGCTCATAAGATCATTGCTGTGTTTTCTTTCCCAGTTAACTATTGCACTGATGAAGCATTTTTGCATGAGAGACACACATATAATATTATATATTAGAATTTATATCTAATTAAATCAGAGGGGGCAAAAAGAGCAGCAAAGTTCAGTGGAGATGAACACAGAGAAGGAGCCCAAGAGCTGCTAAAATCACCTTCCTGACGAGCACCACCAGTGCCCAAACCCTCCCAGTCACCACAGCACACCATTGGTTACCTGGAGATCCAAACTCAGGCTGTGCAAAGGACAAGGAAATATCAACACTCCTGGAGGAGTTAAAAGCCAAACTCAGCCGTGCCAATCTTTTGCCGTGACTGATGGGGTGGTGAAAGGCAGGGAAACCTCTGACCCTGCCAAAAATCCAGGCTAAAATGTCAGGATACCTGCACAAAGCTCTCCTCTCGAGCTGTGATGTCTCAAGGCCGTCCTGACCACAGGTCAGGGAGAACTGAGGATGTCTAGTCCCATAATTCAGGCACACTTGGGGAAATTATAGTAGATCTAGAATAGCTGAGAGCATAAAAAATTCACGTGATTATGTGAACTAGCTGTTAATAAAAAGGTCTTATATTCTGCTTTCAATTTAAAGAACTGCTGAGAATTTGTGGGAGATATTAAAAAACATGTAAGCAACAAATCTACTTTACAGCCCCTACCCCCTTTGTATTTTTACTAATCAGTTTGCAAATTAAATAGGCTTTATGGAAATGAGATCATGAGCATATTTTATGGGGAAAAATCATCTCAGAGTGGTAAATTCAGTGGGAGTTCCTTCTGAAAATCAGTGCTCGCTTAGAAAATGCTGTATAACCTATGAACGCACAGAAGTACGTCTCATCAGGTACTGCCAAGTTTATATTGTTATTGACCGCCCAGAATGCACTCAATTCACTTACTGTAGTGGAGCACATCCTCACTTTGAAGGTTATTTACTACAATTTCACTCCGTGCAGGCAGAAAACTGATCCCTTAATAGTGACAACAGCTCACCTTGTTCACGAACACGCACAGCCCCGTGTCAGGGTGATCACAGCCCTGAAGCTGCTTCCCAGCTCCACAGCCAAGCAGAGTCTCACAGACAAAGAGAACTGGGGGTAAAAATAACAATTCAGTGATCAAACAGCAAACCTTGGTGTCCACTTTGCCTGATTTTACTGCAGGAGTAGTTTTTCCAGCTAAATCCGCTGGATTTGATACAGAGTGCAGAAGGGGAAGGGCCATTTTCACAGCCTGAATTAAGCAGAGATGGATTTCAAAGCTGAAGGCCTCCAAGTCCTGCTATGTTTGGGTGCAGATCTCAACTTCTCTATCTGTCATTACAAGAGATTTTTGTGCTGGAGCTCCACCACATGTCCCATTCCCCAGACCCTGCACATGGCTGATACCTGGTCTCAGACACAGCCCACATCAGAGCCAGCATGAGTGGAACATCTCACAAAAGCCCAGCCTTCCCTCATGTTTGTGACATCCATGGGGAAGAGAAGCAAGCTGTGTTATTTCTGCCTGCCCATGGCTGCTGTAACATGCCTATAAATAAGGCCCACACAGTTACAAAATTAAACCAGTTTAAAAACAAAAGCACGGGAGGCTCATTCCATCTGGTCTAAGTGAGGAGGAATTGTCGCAAGTTTAAAAAAAAAAAAAGAAAGCTTTGCTTGTTTTGTTCACTTCCCCACCTTCCCTGCTTGTTTTACACCTTCCCTTCCTCGCCTCTTCCATTTTTTTTTTGCCCCCATGCTCGTGCCAAGGTTGGGATCCTGTTGCTTGGAAGGATTTGGTCAGGCTTATAAAGCCCAGCCATGGTGGAAATGCCTTTAAAAACTGGGACAGGGGCTCTCTTGATTCTCAGCACAAACCCATTTAAGCAGGTGTGTCAATTCAGGGCCGTGTTTTCAAGTCAGGAACATGAAAAATAGTTTTGGTTTGATTAGTTGCCTCCTGGGAGAAGGAAGAAGAGAGGATTCAGTAAAATCACTAATGTCTGTGTATTTATCCACAAGGAGCCCCGTGTCTCCTTCAGACCATTAGTGATTGGGTTGTTCATGCCCATTTTGTTATTATATTCATTATTCTCTGCAAATGCAGACAGAAATGGATGAGGAGACATCCACGAGTAAAGAAATTTAACTTGTGGATCAGTTTAACACATTTTTGTGTATCAAGGCCATCGGCAAATAAAACACAGCGATATCTCTGAGGAGCTGACACAGAGACAGATAAAACATCCCACTGCTGGAGAGAGTCATTCAGCAGAAATTATGCTTGAACTGCCTGGTAACACTGATAACACTCAGCTCTTCTGTAGACTGAGCCTAAGTTGCTGAATTCAAGAGGAATCTGTGTATTTTAGGTAGTTCTAGTTGAGTAAGTTGGTGAGAATAATGCGTTACATCCTTGCATTCACACCTTGTGATAAAAGCACACAAAGCCACAATAAAGGGGATGCAAATTATCTGTCTGGTTGTGGTGCCTCACCCAGACAGTTCTGGAGTTATCACCCAATTCTCATTAATAACAGGGGAGTTCTCAGTGCAGCTTCACTGGCAGAGCATCTAACTCAGACAAAAATATTCTGAGAGGGGCTTTAATTATTTTATACACTAATAATAATTTCCTAATTATCCATATCACAAACAAGCCATCCTAAAATCCAGAACCACAGAATCACAGAATGGTTTGGGTTGGAAGGGGTCTCAAAGACAACCTGGCTTCAAACCCCCTGCCACAGGGGCTTGAATCACACCATCATTATTTTAAGGTCTTATTCCGCATTGTCCCAGGTCCACAAAACCTGGGAGCATTGTGTTCAACATCCCCACACCATCTCTGCCCGCTCTCATTGCTTCCTTCTCCACACAGTCCTTCCCACATGGAACCAAAACCATGTTCCCTGGTGACCT